CGTTGACGGTGGTGAACAAGGACAATTAACAACAAACACGACTCAACACACTCGTCAATGACACCGTCTTCAATGGAATATAAACATTAGGCGTCTGTTTCTAAGCAATGGCCGTTGTTGTCCAGACCAGTGGCTCGTCCCTTTGACAGCGGGGACCACAATCCCCGTGCACGAGGACCACAATCCCCGTGCACGAGGACCACAATCCCCGTGCACGGGGGCCACAATCCCCGTGCACGAGGACCACAATCCCCGTGCAGGGGGACCACAATCCCCGTGCACGGGGGCCACAATCCCCATGCACGAGGACCACAATCCCGTGCACGGGGGCCACAATCCCCGTGCAGGGGGACCACAATCCCCGTGCACGGGGGCCACAATCCCCGTGCACGCTTCCGTAGCAGCTCCTCGCTCTTCATGCTCAGTCCCCCCCCTCCCACCCCCTGTTCCGTATGGCAACCCATGATCTTAGAAATAACCGAGCAACGTTTGGGATCAACACTTTACCACACTTGTCCTACTCTAAATCACTTTTGGACCTCCAATCCCTTCAAGTGTACGTGCTCTTCTTTGCACACTTTAAGTTATTTACTTACATATTGTGTTCATCTCGCCTCGTGTTCTGTGTGCTGATTGTGCCGTGATGTTGATGCATGACCTTGCCATTCGGAACTCAACCTTGTACACTGGACCATTTACACTAGAACCTGCACACTGGAACCTGCACACTGCACTCTGTACAGTGGAACCTGCACAGTGGACCCTGTATACTGGAACCTGCACACTGGAACCTGCACACGGAACCCTGTACACTGGAACCTGCACATTGGACCCTGCACACTGGACCCTGCACACTGGAACCTGTACACTGGAACCTGCACACCGCACTCTGTACACTGGACCCTACATACTGGAACCTGCACACTGGACCCTGTACACTGGAACCTGTGCACTGGACCCTGTACACTGGACTCTGCACACTGGAACCTGCACACTGGAACCTGCACACTGGACCCTGTACACTGGAACCTGTACACTGGAACCTGCACACTGGACCCTGTACACTGGAACCTGCACACTGGACCCTGTACACTGGAACCTGTACACTGGAACCTGCACACTGGAACCTGCACACTGGACTCTGCACACTGGAACCTGCACACTGGAACCTGCACACTGGACCCTGTACACTGGAACCTGTACACTGGAACCTGTACACTGGACCTGCACATTGGACCCTGTACACTGGAACCTGTACACTGGAACCTGCACACGGAACCCTGTACACTGGAACTTGCACACGGAACCCTGTACACTGGAACTTGCACTCGGAACCCTGTACACTGGAACCTACACACTGGACCTTGTACACTCGACCCTGCACATTGGACCCTGTACACTGGAACCTGTACACTGGAACCTGCACACTGGAACCTGCACACGGAACCCTGTACACTGGAACTTGCACACGGAACCCTGTACACTGGAACCTACACACTGGACCCTGTACACTGGAACCTTTACACTGGAACCTGCACACTGGAACCTGTACACGTGTTTATGGATGGTTTTGTTCGCGTTCTGTTTGCGGCAGTGAGCAGGTGTCTACGGTACAACCAGATCCCCATCGAAAGCGAGCATTTATTGCACATTGGGTTTTACAGGAGCCAAAATAAACCGGTCGCTTGGCGTCACTGCCACTTAGTTGTGAACGGCGGTCATTGGTGGAGGTGGTGGTAGAGTGGAGGTCTGATGAGGTGGTGGTTTGGTGGAGGTGGGGGTCTGGTGGAGGTGGCGGTGTCTTGAGTGTGGCGGTGTGGTGATGGTAAAGGTGGTAGTGTTGTGGGGATGATGATGTGGTGGAGGTGGTGGCGTGCTGGAGGTGGTGATGTTTTGTGGAGGTGGTGGTGTAGTGGAGGTGGTGGTGGAGGTGGTGGTGGAGATTGTGGGTGGTGGTGTAGTGGAGGTGTTGGTGGTCGGACGCTGCTAGACTTCTGTGCAGCTCATGGCCTGGTAATCACCAACATTTTGTTCCAGCATCGGCGTAGACACCAGGACCTACCGTGGAGTGTATCTGACTGTTAGCTCGTCATCTGTACGATGCGCTCGCCATTGTTCCACTGCGGTGGTGGCTGACCATCTCGGACCCCATTCAAAGACACAGTCGCCTGGTCTCAGCTCGCTGGTACAAGTTGCAAGCGATCATTTAATCATTGCCAGCAGCTGGGGTTGGCATCCTTCCCCCCCCTCATCCTAATGCCGAGGGGGAATGGTTGAGATTTAGACCTGTGGCTCATGCAGCTGCAATGGCTGCTTTGGTTACGCGTTCCACACTTCCCCAGAGACCCTGGCTGACGGAGGAGGTTCTCTAGCTGGCTGAGAAAACACGAAATGCCCCCTCCCACTGTCTACAGCGTCCCACGTCGACATGAAAACACGAAACGCCCCCTCCCACTGTCTACAGCGTCCCCACGTCGAAATGAGGAGGCTTACTCGTGGTCGCAGGTTGCTGATAAGATGGAGCTGCCTTAGACCCCGGGATTACAAATCACTCTTTAATTCCATCAAAAAAGTAACTTGCAACGGCACAGAATTCACAATCCTTACGGGAAAGAAAGGTGATCCGATCTCTAACCCCCAAGGACAGGTGTGCAGGTTTGTTAAACATTTCTGAGGTCTTAGGGAAAGGGAAATCCCTCAACCCAGACAACATCATGGGGGAAAGTGGGGATACCCCTGCTGAGGCTGCCGTGCCTCAAATCTCGGAAGAAGGAGTCGCACCTTGTGAGTGGTTGGCTGTTTCTCTTTCCCACCTGAAGACGATTGCTTGTGGCGATCGAAACGTCGTGATCTAGTATTATTTTTTCTACCTACGTGACTTGACCGAAAGAACCAAAGAGTATGGATTCCTGCAGTCACGAAATCTTCAAATCATGTTTATAGGCAAGGACCCTCTCTGTTAGACGTGGGTCTCAGTTCACGTAACGTGTCACGGTGGCTTACGGCAGTTGTTGTTGGTTGTGGTGACGGTGGTGCTGTTGCTGGGTGGTGGTTTCTGGTATTGGGTAGCGACTGGGGCCTGGATAGCCAGGCGGACAGGGCCGGACACGTCTGACGTTTTGTGATTTGTGCTGAACGCGCGCTCGTGGCCGATAGGTGCCGATGACGACTGATGGTGGAACAGTTTTTGTAAAAATCCGTGCGGTGTGCGGTGTCAAAGCCGTGCCTGAGGGGTGGTGGGGGGGATTCTGCCCCACAAGAAGCCAAACTATTTTTGTTTTTATAATCATTTTTGTGACATAGACGAAAATGTATCTGCAAATATCACTGCGTATCATCTCAACGCAAAGTATTGTCATCTTAAGCATGGAAACTTTTGTATCCGTAGAATCCGAAATAAAAAGTGATAAAGGTGTGACGTGACCGCTGTTGTGTTCTTGGAGTCTGGGCCTAGTAACGTTCTGTGCACTGTAACCCCAACCCATGGCATCAACCGTGGCGAAGGCGACGTTATCTCCCTCGCCTGGCATGGAGGATGTCGTGGGTTCGGTGCTGGAACCTGGCGTTGCCTGTTGTATATTTTGAGCTTGCGTGTTCTATCTCCGTGTGGTGATCACGTGGATTTTTCTCTGGGTCCTCCAGCGTTGCTGATAGATTAGTGAGGCCTATGATCAGTGGGCAGAGTATATTAACGGTTGTTAGTGTAAGCATGGCTATGTAAAGTAGGAGGGGGACAGATAGAGGGGCGACCAATTCACCATGTGTCCTGGTTGAGCCATCCAAACATTTGGTAGCCTTCAGCAAATGACGATGAACACATCGTGGTTAATGCCGCTGTCTCTTCCCATATAAAGGCCCGGTTGGTGTGTCATGCCCAGTGAGTTTTTGTTTTGCTATTCATCTTCGTGTGTATTTGTGCATGTTTTGCAGTTATTTTTTGCTGTTTACACACCAGGAACACACCACTGTAGATATTGCATACAAGCAACCATGACACAATGTAGCAATTCAGGGTTTTTATTTCATTTACGAATAAATGATTTACTGTTTAACACGTAAGCTTTCGCGACTGACGTCATCCATAATACAGGTTTTTTTTGTTAGATCGCGTAAATATGTGTCAAAAAACCCGCCACCACCCGACACTGCCAATTAGTAATGTTTATAATGTAAACAGAACGTGCCAATTCGTTACTAGTAGAGCACACTGCTGTGTTGGTGAGCAAAGCCACAACATTTACAATCTGAGTACGACGTTTCGCCAGTAATAACGAGCTTCATCAGGTGACAGCCAGATTGGTGGAGAAATCCTCCTGTTTTGTTAAATAGAGGGGTAGATGTGATGACATCACTTGTGTGCCGTTCTTGCGCGAAGTGGGGGAGGGATGAATTAATGCATATAAATTACTGTGGGTATCCGTTGCCGTTTGAGTTATATATATGGTAATCAATGTACATTATGCATGCGCATTATGCAAGGCCATTGTTATTGTACCTGCTGCTGATTGTGTATACTAAAATAGCCATACCAACGGTAATCACTATTGAAGCATGCTGACCTGCATTTAAACATTTTATTATTTGATGGTTGGCTTACAAAGCAGCAATTAGATACATTATTTAAATACATAAATTATATACATTAATTATATACATTCATTATATACATTAATTATATGCATTATTTATATGCATTATTTATATACATTATTTATATAGATTAATTATATACATTAATTATTTACATTAATTAATTCCCCCCCCACCACGGCACAAGAAGAACACACAAGTGTTGTCATCACATCTACTACCCCTCTAGTTAAGGAACGAAACAGGATTTCTCCACAAATCTGGCTGCAGCCTGAAGAAGCTCATTGTCATTACTGGCGAAACATCGTACACAGATTGTAAATGTTGTGGCTTTGCTCTCCAACAAAGCGGCGTACTGTACTAGTGACGAATTGGCATATTCTGTTTACGTGACAAACCTTACTCATTGCCTGTGTCGGGTGGTGGCGGGGTTAACGACACATTTGTACACTTACGCGATCTAACCTAGAAAACCTGTATTATGGGAGTTACTTGCATAAAACACATATTTACATAATGTACAGGTGTGAAGGGTGATCTTATTAAGCCTTCCAAAATTCTTCTGAGAGATGCCCGCTTGGCAAAGGAATCTCCCGATTAACAAAACAGTCCTGCAGGCAAACACAACACACACAAACACAACACACACAAACACAACACACACAAACAGGGATTAATGTGGATACTCGAGTCCGGGCAGCCCAGCAGCTCCACATGGGTTTTGAAGGGCCAACCAGTGGCAGCGTGCCAATAGAATGCCTCGCTCTGGTGTCTGGAGTGCTGTTAAGGTGAATATTTAATAAGTTATTTTAATGTAGCTGCTGTTTCTTGTGCAGGAAGCGATGCACGCCGGTCAGAGGCTTTTTCAGCCCAAAGCGCACTTTGTGGAGAAGTTCTAGACGCGTACTTGGTTGTGCTATTTGTATGTTTATTGAACAGTCCGACACACGCGTTAAGAGTTTCCTGGCAAATGTCCCGATCCACCATCGAGCTTTTCCCTCAACCCTTCCCTGCCTTTCCCCTTCAACCCTCCTGGCCAATCACCTTTCAACCCATCCTCCTGCTCCTCCCATTCAGGTGTGAGGTAGATGATCCCAATTACCTAACCCACCATCCCTGGTGTAATGCAGTAGGGAATGATGTCATTTGTGAGTTATACACAATCCTGGGGTAGGACTGCCGCACATGTCTGATGATGTACTAGAAACCCTGTGTGAAGGGGAGACCTGGTGATTCAGGCAATTGACTATTAACCGTCCCTTCGTGTGTACGCATGCCGGAATGAGAGGAGAATTACTAATTTATTTCTGGGAAGTGTTTCCCAACTTCCCGACACGTAAAAAATTACATTAAGTGACAAAGTGAATACGGGGCTAATTATGTGTTCGAGTGCAAAGCCAGCACCACTCAGATCTTGGGTTTGAATTGAGGTTTCAGCCATCTGTGATTAAACCGGAGTCTCAAGTGTAGCGAGTTTAAGGTATTATCCTGGGCACAGATTACTTCACGAAAAAATACCTTTGTTCAACTCAAATTTTCATCTAATTTGGATTTTCTAACTCTTAATATTTACGATTTCATTGACATGTACTTACAAATGCTTTGACAATAATTACACCCACACACATGGTACTAACTATGCCCCTAATGAATGTAACTTTGGCCGCATTGAGTGTTAACACTCTACTTCAGGATGGCCCTGTATTGGGATGTTTGGCGAATTCCGTAAAGGCAAGTTTGGCGATTGGGAAGAATCCAGAATACCCGGGGAAAAGCCACAACACATTCGGATAAAACACAGCTCTGCACAGTTACGTTCACTCCGCTGCTGTACTGACGTCTCCTGACCAGCTCGCAATGTGCCCACTAAGGATGGCGATTGCTGCGAGCATGGATAAAGGGAGCTACTGAGTGACTTCAGATATCATTATGTGATGTCACCTTCCGCGGCTGTTATGACTTAAGGTAATGCTACACACATTGCTGTGCGGGTTATGACAATGGCACTGGAATAAATGTGTGTGTGTCAAAGTTGTGTCGTCAAAGCCGGTACCTCGAGGAACAGCCTCAGTCTGACCACAGTTCCCATCTGCTGCGGGATGGATACTTTCTCGATTCTGCAGGACAAGAAGAGACGCAGCGAGTTTAGGTGTGCATCCATCGATTCTTACAAACTTCCGGCTCCAGTCCTTAACCGGTGACCATCACCAACCACAGCTTAAAGCTCGTTCAGAGACACACTGTAACGGGAGCCTGCTGTCGACAGCTGACTTCACAGTCACGTCGATCGCATCGCTACCGCCTCCCTACCAATTGCTGTGGGTGGAAAACTGGGCTGGTCAAGAGTCTTCCAAGAGCCAAAGTTTACGATCCGCAGGGGAAAATTATGGCGGTGCAAGGACCTTTCTGTATGTACAAGTGCAATGTTACTTTGATATTAGCTGGTTACTTGACAAGGTGATTCAGTCTATTGCCACAACATAAAAACAGTAGAAAGCAAATCGACTTCAGGCGTCAATGCAAGGAACACGTGCAAATATAAATGGCTTCGTGAAGGTGAGATGGAGACGAGACTGCCACCGGACGAGAGGTACCTTGGGATGTATTCTTTCCTTAACCCATCGAGCAGCTCCCAGAGCTGATCGCCGTATGCAATCGCCATTGCATTACCTGCCACCTGCTCACACACGCCAGGAGCATGTGAACAAGTCACAGGGCAGCCTCGTCTCTATCACAATGCTTGTGCGCTGTGTTCCCGTGTGTGTACCCGTGTGTTCCTGTGCACGCGCTGTGTGCTCATGCCCGTGTGCTCTCGTGCGTACCTCCAGAAAGCTGAAGAGCACCGTGGGGGTGACATTGGCCATGGGCTCCATATCCAGGACCTGCATGAGCCAGGTCCAGCCGTGACTCATGCCGTGGGGGTGGCTCTGCGATTCACGCACACGGCACGCGTGGGGTAGGGTGGCAGGTGTGGGAGAGATTCGTCAATTTAAAATCCCATTATCGTACTTGCGCTACACAGAGCCAGTGGCTTACGATTTAAGCAGATCGCATGCAAACAATGTTACACGTACACTAGCAGAGCGAACCAAACTGTACGTGACGGAGAGAGTGAGATCCGATTCTTGATGGAGATCGTGACCCCGGATTGGCGGTGCTACCTTGTTGCCACTGGAGGGGGGCACGGGCGCGGAGATGATGGCCGCGTACATGCGCGCCATGCCCGACATTCTCTGGAGAAACAAGTCTTCGTTCTCTACTCTCCCATCCTCGAAGCGGTAACCGAGGATCCTGCGGGTGATGGGGGGAGACACGGGCGTCAAGCACACGCCACACGCACGCACAGCTCTCACCGCTCACTCCTCACCCCCCAACTACCACCGCCCCCCAAGCCAGGTCCCTAGTGCCCTCACCTGAAAGCGTCCTCCTGGCTCTGCCCAGGCGTGGGACGAGGGAAGACGGGGCCCATGTAGGGGCACTTGCTGAGCAGGTGAGCAAGCAGGAGCTCCCCGAGGGCTGGGTGGCGGTGCCACAGTTCCACGGTGACAGCCGCGATGGGGAACACCGCCGCGTGGTTCCACCCCACCTCCTCCTCGCTCTGCTTCTGTAGTGGCAGAGACGCAGGGGGAGAGAGGGTGAGGTGAAGAAACCGGAACCGAAGACAACCAATTTGCTGTACTTATTTAGTTTGTCATAAATAACCTATCTCATTTATCTTTCCCAATTAAACGGGCAATTATGAACTTCACAAACATTGCAAGAGGAGCCCCGCTGAAAAAAAACATTCTTGATGAGACGCATTGTGGCTTTCTGGTATAAGAAGCATCGATGAATGAACCGTGAGAATAAATGAACACACATTCAAGTGAACTGATCCTAGCAGCGAGCACACAGGCGAAGGTGAAATGCAGATGTCGGTGGATGATGGCGATGACGACGGTGGTGCCGTGGAGGTGCGTGCATGCGAGGTGCATTTGACTGCGAGGCAAGACGCGGGGGCTTTGCGAGGGGGCTTGTCGACGTACCACGAGCCTCTCAGCCACCCGGTGCAGGACATAGAGCAGGCCCTGCGGGTGGTCCGACACGCTGGTGGAGCGCGTGCCCGACACGACGGCCGTGCCGCTCAACAGCAAGTCCAGCTTGCCGGTGATGACGCGCAGGTGAGAACCTGCGCACGAGGACACGTTGGGGGGGGCACGGGTAAAAACGGGGGGACGTGTATTATACAACAGCGCTGCACTACGGCAGTCGTGACACAGTGACTGCCGCGCAAGCTGCCCGATTGTGCGTTTACACCGCGGGAGCTGGGGCAGGCTGAGACTCGACGTTTCACGAGAGAGGGGAGGGGACGGCCCTCACCAGACGTGTTGGAGATCTGGTTGATGGGCATTGACGAGGCCTTGGCCAGCTCGAACTTCATGACCTTGGTCTGCCCATCGCACACACACACACACACAGGTACACTCACACTATTAAAACTAAACTATGACACTAAAACTATTTGTTTTTTATTTTACTAGGTAAGGCCCACTGAGCTATATAGCTCTTTTTCAGAAGAGACTCGGCTACAACTGCTAGCTCCACGAAGTGAAATATCGCATGGATATTTATAGCAGCCAAATACTCTAAAAACACGCGTTTCTAATTGTGAAGGGAAAAACTGGAGGACCTGGAGAAAAATCCACGCAACCATGAGGAGAATACGTACACTGCAAATATACAGTAGTTGTCAGAATCGGGCATTTGTACTCACGACCCCCCCCCCCCCCCCCCGCATACCTTCAGGTCCTGGTTGCCGTTGAGCTCCTTCAGTCTCTCCACCGTCTCCGCCAAGTGGCGCTGCAGCTCTTGGTGACGGCGCTGCGGGACGCTGCCCTCCGCCCAATCTCCACCCGCTGTGGCAATCAATGCAATACACAGCCCGTTAGAAGCAGGGACCCACACAACACACATTATAACCAGGGTTCCACACGCAGCCCGTTAGAACCAGGGACCCACACAACACACATTATAACCAGGGTTCCACAAACAGCCCGTTAGAACCAGGGACCCACACAACACACATTGTAACCAGGGTTCCACACACAGCCCGTTAGAACCAGGGACCCACACAACACACATTATAACCTGGGTTCCACACGCAGCCCGTTAGAACCAGGGACCCACACAACACACATTATAACCAGGGTTCCACAAACAGCCCGTTAGAATCAGGGACCCACACAACACACATTATAACCAGGGTTCCACACGCAGCCCGTTAGAACCAGGGACCCACACAACACACATTATAACCAGGGTTCCACACGCAGCCCGTTAGAACCAGAGACCCACACAACACACATTATAACCAGGGTTCCACACGCAGCCCGTTAGAACCAGGGACCCACACAACACACATTATAACCAGGGTTCCACACGCAGCCCGTTAGAACCAGGGACCCACACAACACACATTATAACCAGGGTTCCACAAACAGCCCGTTAGAACCAGGGACCCACACAACACACATTGTAACCAGGGTTCCACACACAGCCCGTTAGAACCAGGGACCCACACAACACACATTATAACCTGGGTTCCACACGCAGCCCGTTAGAACCAGGGACCCACACAACACACATTATAACCAGGGTTCCACAAACAGCCCGTTAGAATCAGGGACCCACACAACACACATTATAACCAGGGTTCCACACGCAGCCCGTTAGAACCAGGGACCCACACAACACACATTATAACCAGGGTTCCACACGCAGCCCGTTAGAACCAGAGACCCACACAACACACATTATAACCAGGGTTCCACACGCAGCCCGTTAGAACCAGGGACCCACACAACACACATTATAACCAGGGTTCCACACGCAGCCCGTTAGAACCAGGGACCCACACAACACACATTATAACCAGGATTCCACACGCAGCCCATTAGAACCAGAGACCCACACAACACACATTATAACCAGGGTTCCACACGCAGCCCGTTAGAACCAGGGACCCACACAACACACATTATAACCAGGGTTCCACATATGGGTCATAATTACCAGGGTCCCACACATGACCCCTTATAACCAAAGACTCACACACGGTCCATTATAACCGGGGATCCACACGCAACCCGTTATAACAGAGGAAACGACGCCTCACCTTGCTCCAGCGGCTCGCACTCGCGTGCCAGACGCGGTGCATCCTCGCCACCATCACCGCTGTTCTGCAGACAGCAAACCGCACCAGACCACGCTGTATTTTATAAGGGTGTGCCGCCAAATGCATTCTCATAGCTGATGAATGTTCCGACTTAAGAAAAAGCACGCGTATCTGTTTCACAGTCTATAAAGAAATTAACATTTTAGTTCATCGGACTATGAGCCTGTGGGTCCAATGTTTTCCATCAGGGAATCTCTGGGCCGGTGTTAATGATCTGAGTCTCGTCAGCAGGGTATGCCTGATTGTCGTGTGGATGGGTGTCAAGGTTGCGTGTTCGGGCTAAGCCGCACGTTTGAAACATCGTTACAAACGTAGAGTCCGTATTCCCTGATATCCCCCTCCAATTAATCTAGCCTTTGCTGGGAATCCAACTGAGGTGGCTGGGTTCACAGCGCAGCGTGCAAACTGCTGTGCCGAACTACCAAAGCAAGTGGCAAAACAAATGTTACGTGACAATTGGTGACCAGGCTGAGACTATAAACTCGCTACACCAAGACTCTTACCGCGATTCCAGAGAAACGCTCCTCAGTGATGATCTCGAGGATAACATTCTCAGAGCTGAACAAAAACAAAACAACAAATGATCACAATAGTGTTCGCTAGTGTCATTCTGCGTACCCTTATGCTAGCTGGAACCAACACCAGTGTACACGAGCTCTAGCTGACACTTACACTCATATATGAGCCTGCACAAAGACTCACACGTACACTACCTCACACCTACACTCCCTCACACTTACACTCACTCACACCTACACTCCCTCACACCTACACTCCCTCACACCTACACTCCCTCACACCTACACTCCCTCACACTTACACTTGCTCACACTTGCTCACACTTACACTCCCTTAGACTTACACTCCCTCACACTTACACTCCCTCACACCTACACTCCCTCACACCTACACTCCCTGACACTTACACTTGCTCACAATAACACTTGCTCACACCTACACTCCCTCACACTTACACTCCCTCACACTTACACTCGCTCACACTTACACTCCCTCACACCTACACTCCCTCACACCTACACTCCCTCACACCTACACTCCCTCACACTTACACTCCCTCACACCTACAGTAATTGTCTAACTGCCCGTCCAGACGACCGGTGCTCCCTAACCAGACCACAGTGTCCACCGCTGCATCTCGCAGTCCCCTCCCTACCTGACTTCCGGCTCATTGTCGCGTCGCTCCGCCTCCTCCTCGCTGGGTCCCTTCTCCTCGACCAGGAGAAGGGGGTTGTCAGCGGAGGCGTGGGGAGGCTCGCCATCCCCATGGGGCAATGGTCGTCCAGTGATGTCAAGTGGGGAGAGCGGCACAATGACCTGGCCCTCTGCCGGCGCCTCCTGTCGAGGGAATCACGTTCATGGTTTACACACCAGGTAGAGAGTGCACACGTGCAGTGCAGTGGTAGGGGAACACAAGCTAAAGTGTGCACCAAGACGCGTATAAAGTCACGTTTGAACCATCCAATTGGCCGTTCCGATAAACGGGATTGTGCAGAATACATTGCGAGAACTGATGGACGGGATTGGTAATTGAATGGCAGCCAAAAAGGAAAGAGTACGGCCACCGCAGAGATGGATCAATGAGTTCAGTTCCCGTGCAGGAGTCGGATACATTGTGGCATTGCGTGACTGTGATGGGTGGTGATGATGTGTGTCGGGCCGTCAATCGGGAGCGGATAGAAAATAGCTGGTGATGATATGATGACAGAGGAATCATTCAACAATTGTCACTTATATAATCATCAGCCATAGTTAATCTGATGTTGGATGAAGGCCTCCCCAATCTGTCACTCCCTCTCACAGTCCGAAAATTCAAAATAATCCTCTCACAGTCCGACAATGCAAAAGAGTCTAGCTGGCACCTGCACATAAACTTATTTTATAATTCCATCTCCGTGGTGGATGTGTTCTATGCTGGTTACCATGTGGCTGAATGCACGAGATTGTGTGTTCGTGTGGGACGGTGATGATGATGATTATTACCTTTCCACATGAGGTGTCTGCACCACCTTCCTGCACCACCGGTGACGCCGTGGTGGGAGAGGATGCATCGGCGTGGTCATCAAGGCCATTCTTCACACGGTTATGCCTGCAGCGGTGTTTCTTACAATGCCTGCAATAAGTGATTCGATTTTAATATCAGCATTGAGTTCGTCCAAGCAATGGATCTCAATCTCATAAAACATCTGGCATTTCACCAAAGCCGTAGCCATGGAGTCAACATTGGGGGGGACCAAATCTTCCAGGGGGTCTGGGGATCCCCCCCCCCAGAAAAAAAATCTAAATTTGGAAACGAATTTCCTGCCTAAAATATTAAAAAAATTAACTAACACATGGGATTTATATTCTTAGTTTTTTCGGTAAAGTCACGTTGAAGAGAAACAACAAAATAACAAAATATATATAAAACAATAAAAAATTCTCACGACGTTTCGACCATAACTCAAACGGTCATCATCAGGTGTGTCGGTTTGCATAAATTTATTTTGAAAACGGCATATTTATTTATTTATATATAAAAATAACGTTTGCGTCACGCGCAACGATGGGCTGTTTGCCAGGACTAGTCCATCTATTTTTTGAAAAGAGGAGGGGGGAGACGAAATTTGTTTTTATGTATGCTGTCTGAAAGCCACTGTAAGCGTGAACAATCAATCAAGAACTGAAATGATTGATCAAATCTTTCCAATGATTGCTAAGATAGAATCCATCTTCTCGGTTGAAATTGTCTCTGTGTTTGTATATGTGGATAGCCTCATGAACGAATCTCTCATGGAAGCCAGATGGCTTACAAAGAACCTCCGTCTTGGAAAAGTCAATGGCATGTGAGCCTACTGAATTAGAACAATGATCTGCTACGGCCGAGGTGTTGGTCCTCCTTTTCAACAAAAGACCGGACCCACACACCAAAAAGTTAGACGTTAATAAAGTCGTAATTAATCGCAGTAACAGTTCTATTTCCGATGGTCTGAAATCCGTTTTAGCTAAAGGTCTAAACTTTGCAGTCACACCTAAACACATACCAGTTAATGATATAATTGCCCAAGTAGACGTTGCTCTCAGGGGCCTGGGTCACATCGCTGCAGACGTAGCAAGATCTGAAATCGCTGCAACCCTCAAAAACGCTAAGATGCCAGCTAGCAACCTCAGCAAAGATGAGCGTTTTGAATTATATAAATTAAAAAAGAGGAATGATATTGTAGTTCTCTCAGCTGACAAAGGCAATGCTACTGTTATCATGGATAAAATAGAATACAACAACAAAATTAAAGAATTACTCGACGATGGTAGTTATACAAAAATAAAAAGAGATCCCACCAACAGCCTCGTCACACAAACCAACAAAATAATTTCTGATTCAACCGCATTAATTGATCAATCTAAACAGTTTTCGTTGAAACCTTCTGCTGCCAGGCCACCAAGATTATACGGCTTACCAAAAATACATAAAGTTGATACACCTCTTCGTCCCATAGTCTCTACTATCAGCTCCCCCACCTACAAACTAGCTCGTTTTTTGTCTGAAATCCTGCGTCCTTTCACTGGAAAGACCACCTCTGCGGTACAAAATTCTACTCACCTGGTATCAACAATCAAGGGTATTTCCCTGTCCCCAGACGACCTGCTTGTCAGTTTTGATGTAGTTTCCTTATTCACCAAGGTTCCTGTACCTGACACCATTGCAATCATTGAAGACTTGGTTCATCAAGGACTAAACACTGAGGTACCCCCCCTGGTGAGACACTGTTTAACCAATACATACTTCACTTGGAATGGAACTTTCTACAAACAAACTGAGGGCACCCCAATGGGCTCCCCCCTTTCTCCAGTTATAGCTAACATTTTCATGGAGAAATTTGAGACTGACGCCATCCAGACTGCCACTCTGCGCCCAACCTTATGGAAGAGGTACGTGGATGACACTTTTGTCATCTGGCCACATGGCCGGCCTGCTCTAGACCAATTCTTCGACCACATCAATTCCATACACCCAGCCATCAGATTTACCATGGAAGTCGAAATAGATGGCAAGATACCTTTTTTGGATGTCCTAATTAAAAAGAGACCTGATGGTTCAATGAGCCACTCTGTCTACAGGAAAGCTACCCATACGGATGCTTATCTGAAACCGGATTCCCACCACCATCCATCACAGAAGAATTCTCTCATCAAGACTCTGTATCATAGAGCCCAATGCATATCCGACCAGGAACACATAAGCAGTGAACTCAAGCACGTACACCAAGCTCTTAGGGCTAATGGTTACTCCGACTATACAATCCGCAAAGCTATCACTCAAACCATGAAGAAGAACCCTCTTGAGGAGCCTTTCAAAACCATCACTTTACCCTACATTGCTGGGATCACAAAAAAGATCTCCAAAATCTTGAATAAACACAAGATCCAGGTCCGTTTCAACACATTACATAAAATCCGTGATCTGGTTCCGTCTGTAAAAGATGTGATTCCGGACATACAATACCCTGGTGTCTACAAACTAAGTTGCCTCTGTGGTAGTAGTTACATTGGAGAAACCAAACGCCATATCTCGGACCGCATTCGTGAACATAAAGCAGACCTTAAACACGGTAGGACCAACACCTCGGCCGTAGCAGATCATTGTTCTAATTCAGTAGGCTCACATGCCATTGACTTTTCCAAGACGGAGGTTCTTTGTAAGCCATCTGGCTTCCATGAGAGATTCGTTCATGAGGCTATCCACATATACAAACACAGAGACAATTTCAACCGAGAAGATGGATTCTATCTTAGCAATCATTGGAAAGATTTGATCAATCATTTCAGTTCTTGATTGATTGTTCACGCTTACAGTGGCTTTCAGACAGCATACATAAAAACAAATTTCGTCTCCCCCCTCCTCTTTTCAAAAAATAGATGGACTAGTCCTGGCAAACAGCCAATCGTTGCGCGTGACGCAAACGTTATTTTTATATATAAATAAATAAATATGCCGTTTTCAAAATAAATTTATGCAAACCGACACACCTGATGATGACCGTTTGAGTTATGGTCGAAACGTCGTGAGAATTTTTTATTGTTTTATATATATTTTGTTATTTTGTTGTTTCTCTTCAACGTGACTTTACCGAAAAAACTAAGAATATGAATTACTGCAGTCACGAAAGCTTTAAATCAAAATTTACATGGGATTTAGTTATTATTTATTTATTAACAATAATGTCTAATGGTGTATATTGTATTATATTGCTCTGTGTTTTTCTTTTTTTACCTTTTCTTGTTACATTGTATGTAATGGCAGAGATTAGTGATTTCTAAAGTACAACCATAACCACAATCATATAAACGGAAATCTATTTTAAAGCAATATAATGGGGTGGACATTTTGAGCATATTTGAATATTGGGGGGGATGCGTCCCCCCCCCCCCCCACAATATTTATTATAATTACGGCCTTGTATGTCACCAGTATTGGGTCAAGCAAGCCCGACTTTGGTGATGAGACACTGTCCAGTAGACAGGACTTGCTTGCTCCAATGCTGATGAAAGTTTGGGTTCTCAGAGGCAGTATTTGTTGTCACTGTGAATGGGCGCGATCAGTGCTTGGATAGGCGACCACTAAATCACAACAGGTGCTAGAGACTGCGGGGCTACAATGTGATTGGTGGACTGTGCTGAACACATCGTTGTACTGCACTTACATACTCCACCATCGCTGTCCCCCGCCTTGACAACCTCGCACTGCCCAGAGTGGTGAAGTATGGTTAAATAACCCCCACGACCCATACGGTGTGGGGAGGTCCTCATCCAGCAGTAGAGTGACTTGAATAAGACGCGAGACCGTGGATAAGTTGTGGCTACGATTATAACAATGGTCACCAACCCCTCACCCAGTGTTTACACTGCGGGGCTTTAGCGTCCGACTCACACGGAGCCCGGCGTGGGGCTTTAGCGTCCGACTCACACGGAGCCCGGCGTGGGGCTTTAACGTCCGACTCACCTCTTCTTGCTGGGACGCTCGCGCTTCGGAGTTCGGGAATAGCACGCTCCCATGGCGGGACCGTTCGTCCGCACGGGGACACGAGGGGCGAGTCGAGGCGATCGCCCTTTGGGTACCGACGAAGATCGCCAACGAGGAGGATCAAGATTGAGGAGGAGGAGGATCAAGATTGAGGAGGAGGAGGATCAAGATTGAGGAGGAGGATCAAGATTGAGGAGGAGGATCAAGATTGAGGAGGATCAAGATTGAGGAGGAGGAGGATCAAGATTGAGGAGGAGGATCGAGCGGACGTAGGCGCGCTGCTGCTTTCCACCTCCCCAGCTCCACGTCGAGTGAGGTCACGCCCACAGGCCACGCCCCGCGCCTCCCATTAGCCACGCCCCGCGCCGCCCACAGGCCACGCCCCGCGCCGCCCACAGGCCACACCCCGCGCCGCCCACAGGCCACGCCCCGCGCGCGCTTACAGGCCACGCCCCGCGCCGCCCACGTGACCACCACTCGATTAATCGATTCTCAACGAATCGAGTCCTCATCGCCCCCTGATCGACTCAGGTTCGCAGCGCTATTTGGTTGAATTCCCAACTGCGGCTGTCCTATCGATGAGGGTTCGCCATGAGACGTCCCCTGTTTATTTTTCAATTGTTTTGTTTGTAAACGGAGACAGAATGACACATGATTAATAATCGACTCACGTTAACACTAACCGAGAGACATCGATTGCAACTATATGAATCGAATCGCGACCGTGGGGAAGATTGGGGCCAACGGCTCGCGAAAATGTTTTATCTCACCTGACATTGATGCCGATGGAGCGAGCAACAGTGGGCACGCGAGATCGATAGAAGATAAAATACGAAGTAGAGAGAGTGAACGGGGGAGGGGGGGGGTGGAGAGAAATCGATTACCAATTCGAATCGCGACCGTTCATCGCGACGACCCCAGGTGAATGGCCTCGTCGTGTGAGCAGTTTGCAGGCGAACGTGGGGGCCCAGCTGCTGCTGCCCGCATGGCTGGGGGGGGTTGGCGGCGCTGCTGCTGCTGCCCGCATGGCTGGGGGGGGTTGGCGGCGCTGCTGCTGCTGCTGCCCGCATGGCTAGGGGGGGGGGGTTGGCGGCGCTGCTCTGTGGCCCGGCGTGGATCAGCGCCCAGCCGCCGCTGCTGCTGCTGCTCTGCCGCTCCGAGTGTGGGGAGCCGCCTCTTCGTACGCAAGGCCTCAGGCTCGCCACTCGCTTCACGTTCGGGCATCGTTCGTAAACGACTACAATCTGATCTTTTCAAGTTTAACGAAACGGAGTAGGCTTTCGCGACCAATATTGTCCATAGTAGAGGACTGTGGATTGGATCGCGTGAATAGAAATCTGTCGTTAAGCCCGCCACCACCCGACATCCAATTAGTAAGGTTTGTCACGTAAACAAAACACACCAAATAGCGTGTTGGAGAGTAAACCCACAACATATTCTTGGTTTCGATTTAAAGCTTTCGTGACTGCAAGGATTCATCTTCTTTGGTTCTTTCGGTAAAGTCACGTAGAATGAGAATAAAATAATAAATTGATAAAATAACAATATTCTCACGACGTTTCGGCCACAACACAAGCGGCCTTCATCAGGTGAAGGGACGAGACTGTCTGGAGGACAGCGCTGGAGTGAGAAAGCCACGCTGAGATCACGACCTTTAAGCTGTGTGAGAAGAAACAAAGCGCCTTGACAAAGGAATTAGCATAAAAATTAGCATTGAAATGGCTGAGTGATTAGCTTGTGACTGGTCACAGAAAAGGCTATGTTAAAGTTAAAGCATACACATCCGCAAAGGCACCCCTTGACAAAGGAATTAACATAGAGTTTAGCATTGAAATAGCTAAGTTAAAGCATACACATCCGCAAAGGCACCCCTTGACAAAGGAATTAGCATAGAATTTAGCATTGAAATAGCTAAGTTAAAGTATACACATCCACAAAGGCACTCCTTGACAAAGGAATTAGCATAGAATTTAGCATTGAAATAGCTGAGTGATTAGCTTGTAACTGGTCACAGAAATAGCTATGTTAAAGTCAGAGCATATACATTCACCGAGGCACCTAGTACAAATCAAACAGGAGAATTTAGCATTGAAATAACTAGGCGAATTTAGCTTTGAAATAACGTGAGTGATTAGCTTGTGACTGATCACAGAAATGGCTATGTTGAAGTTAAGGCCTACACATCTGAGCTATTCACAGTAACTGGGTATACAATACAATATATAATGAATACTATATAGTGAACCAATAAAAAATACTAAAATATAAATTACCTCAATGTTATCAATAAACTCTATATTCTCCAATCAGCTAAGCTACCAACAATAAGTCGTCATATATCACAATGCTATATGGCGAAAAATGGGGGACAATTTCAACCGAGAAGATGGATTCTGGCTTAGTAACCATTGGAAAGATGTTTTAAACCATTTCCGTTCTTAATTAATTGTATTTTACGATTACCTTCAGACCGCAGCTCTTTCGCTGGCATTGACTCTTAATACCTCTCACACCACGGTTAATGGTATAGTTTACAACATGGAGTATAATAGCGCCTCGCAGCTGTCTCTCTCCCCCTCCTCTGTTCCGACCATGGATGAACTCGTCCGTCTGAACGGGGCCCGTAGCTATCCGTGGTGCTAAAGTTGAGGGTAAGAATCCACCCATTTTTTCGCCATATAGCATTGTGATATATAACGACTTATTGTTGGTAGCTTAGCTGATTGGAGAATATAGAGTTTATTGATAACATTGAGGTAATTTATATTTTAGTATTTTTTATTGGTTCACTATATAGTATTCATTATATATTGTATTGTATACCCAGTTACTGTGAATAGCTCAGATGTGTAGGCCTTAACTTCAAAATAGCCATTTCTGTGACCAGTCACAAGCTAATCACTCAGTTATTGCAATGCTAAATTCGCCTAGTTATTTCAATGCTAAATTCTCCTGTTTGATTTGTACTAGGTGCCTCGGTGAATGTATATGCTCTGACTTTAACATAGCTATTTCTGTGACCAGTTACAAGCTAATCACTCAGCTATTTCAATGCTAAATTCTATGCTAATTCCTTTGTCAAGGAGTGCCTTTGCGGATGTGTATACTTTAACTTAGCTATTGCAATGCTAAATCCTATGCTAATTCCTTTGTCAAGGGGTGCCTTTGCGGATGTGTATGCTTTAACTTTAACATAACCTTTTCTGTGACCAGTCACAAGCTAATCACTCAGCCATTTCAATGCTAAATTATATGCTAATTCCTTTGTCAAGGCGCTTTGTTTCTTCTCACACAGCTTAAAGGTCGTGATCTCAGCGTGGCTTTCTCACTCCAGCGCTGTCCTCCAGACAGTCTCGTCCCCTTCATCTGATGAAGGCCGCTTGTGTTGTGGCCGAAACGTCGTGAGAATATTGTGTTATTTTATTTTATCAATTTATTATTTTATTCTCATTCTACGTGACTTTACCGAAAGAACCAAAGAAGATATTCTTGGTTATTTCGGTAAAGTCACGTAGAAGGGAAATAATAAAATAAAACAATAACATTCTCACGACGTTTCGATTGCAACACAAGCAATCATCATCAGGTGTGAAAACCACAGCAAGAATTTATTTTTGAAAAAAGTGGCGTTTTTGTCTTAACGTTAGCACCACGGACAGCGACTAGCGGTTGTTGAGGCGGACGAGTCCATCTATGCTCGGAGCGGAGGAGGGGGGAGAGAAGGAGAATGGAATGAGGTCTGAAAGTCGGTCGAGTTAATCAATTGGCATTGTGCAGAGCAATTACTGCCCCCTTACTGCGGAAACTTGGCAGGACCCTCCAAAGAAAGGAAGATATAGTGAGGCTTTCCACGGTAAACACGTGTAGGAATAATATAATACAAATATCTATATTTTTAAAGGCAAAGTGATTTCCGGCTCGAATGAGAGTTACAGAGGTACTCATCTGTGGTTTGCAGCTGAGAACCAGCGGTGGAAATTCCACATTCCTATGGTGGGGGGGGGGGTCTGTCAATAAGGCAACGACTTGTTTTCGCTACCCAAGATAGGATTGCATGGTACAATAATATAGGATTATTGTGGACCAGGGATACCTTGTGTTGTAGTGGTAGTGCCTTATACCAATAGTCCCTACTTGCAAGCCAGCCTAGCAGCATTTAGAAAATGAATCCCGGGGTATAAGTCGCTGGGGAGTCGAGTCCGTAATGTCTGTCCTAAGCCGCTCTGCTGGCTCTCTTCTCCATGTCCCTCCCCCACGCGCACTCCTAGGATCCCTCCAGTTCCTCCTGCTCCTCCTCCTCCCGTTCGTTGGGGCGGTGCTGCTCGCTGTGCGGTTCGCACGCGGAACGTGGCACAGAGAGAGGTCCCACGCACGGGGAGGTGAGCGGTGGCGTACTCACCACGACTCCCTACAACTCACCACCACTCCCCACAACTCACCACCACTCCCCACAACTCACCACCACTCCCCACAACTCACCACCACACCCTGCACCGCTCACCATCGCCACCACACCCTGCACCGCTCACCATCGCCACCACACCGTGCACCGCTCACCACCACACCCTGCACCACTCACCACCACCACTCCCTGCACCGCTCACCACCACTACACCCTGCACCACTCACCGCTAGAGCTGCGATATCTGATTATATGTTTTATTTGAGTGATTGATTTCCCTACCGATTACCGGTTCCATTACTCAACCAATCGGATAACAGATTCTCAGGAGTAGTTTTGTCATGTCCGATCCCGAGGGTCGTTCGCCGTCACAAATGTGCACTGCTCGCTGAAAATATTTCCAAATGGATGCTTCACGTCTCGACACGCCACCCAATGCATAACCTGAACAGCACAATTCTGGTTATATTTGGCACAATATTTGTTGCATATCAGACATTGAAATCACACGCGGCAACAAATAATTATGCCACAGTTAAATAGACACGAAAACTAAATAATTAAACTGATTCTCTAATCCCCTGCCAGGTGGCATCAGATTACCGGTGACGGAATCGCAGCTCGTCCGCACTTCGACATCAACGCCATCACCGCCATCATCGTCATCACTGTCACCTCCGCCGTCGTCGCCGGCACCGCTACCCCTGGGCAATCACAAGGTCGAAAATTATGTGCGATTTGCACACTTTCATCCAACAAGTTCCACTGCTTGAGCCTAGACGTCAAAAGCTTGGTATTGGGCTTGGTGAGACCAAGATATCTGATCAAGTCGTTGAGGTCTTTTTGGTTGGGGTAGTATGGGTTTCTCTCCTCAGCTCCACCTCTGAAATTGTCATCTGGATCTACAACGTCTTCTTCGCTCTCTGACTTGCTGCTCTCTCTCCGGATGAGTGGGTACGGGTAGCTCATGGCATTGTGGCACCGGGGCGATGGATGAAGGAAAGTGATAGCAGGTGCATTCTTGACAGTCATACGTTTGAAAGGGTCCACCATGCAGAAGTAGCAGTTGCTTCAGTGGTCAGTGGGTTCTTGCCAAATTCTTGGGATAGCGAACTTCATGGCTCTCTTTTCCCCTCTGTACCATCTTACAAAAATATATATATTTCACCCATGACTGTAAGATTCTCGCAACATTTTTCATATGTTATATTTTTTCAACAACATTGAAAATTGTAAAACATTTTCAAATGTAAAACTTTTACAATTCTTTTTTTTTTACAAATTTCATAACATAAAATTACGAGCAACAATTGTCCATCTTACCGTGCAGAGTTTTTTTGAATTGCTCGCAGATTAAATGAGGTGCCCAGGGTTTGTCTTGATCCTCGACAGGCATGTCGAAATATGGCTTGTAGTCCTCACACATCTTAGCAGATGCTTCCACAGAGTGCTTTTTCGCTCTTGTCTTGATAAATTGGCCACAGACAGAGCAAAATGCGTCTGCCGGATGCTTGCAGCTTCTTGATGCCATCTCGGAAAAATGCAGATATGTATGCACTTAGGCAGCTGGAACTAAAATGAACTGGTGGGCTTAAGGCCCCTGTATTTATACTACTATTTATATTACTGGAAAGTTCTAGAATGTTCTAGAAGTTACTCCAAGTTTACTCAGCACTGAATCTTTCTGGAATGTTCTGGAAAATATGTAAATTACAAAATATCACTGTCCTGGTCACAAAAGCAAAGTTTGTGGATAATGATTTCCATCTTCTCTACTTTTGAGGCATAAGCAATTAGGAAATAACACTTACTACCCAGGAACAAAAAACATTGTTACACAGTGCATTATCAGTGCTGTAGTGACTACATTATCAGTGGTGTAGTAACTACATTATCAGTGGTGTAGTGACTACATTATCAGTGACGTAGTAACTACATTATCAGTGACGTAGTAACTACATTATCAGTGGTGTAGTGACTACATTATCAGTGACGTAGTAACTACATTATCAGTGGTGTAGTGACTACATTATCAGTGCTGTAGTGACTACATTATCAGTGGTGTAGTGACTACATTATCAGTGCTGTAGTAACTACATTATCAGTGGTGTAGTAACTACATTATCAGTGACGTAGTAACTACATTATCAGTGGTGTAGTGATTACATTATCAGTGGTGTAGTAACTACATTATCAGTGACGTAGTAACTACATTATCAGTGACGTAATAACTTCATTATCAATGGTGTAGTGACTACATTATCAGTGGTGTAGTAACTACATTATCAGTGACGTAGTAACTACATTATCAGTGGTGTAGTAACTACATTATCAGTGACGTAGTAACTACATTATCAGTGGTGTAGTGACTACATTATCAGTGACGTAGTGACTACATTATCAGTGGCATAGTAACTACATTATCAGTGGTGTAGTAGCTACATTATCAGTGACGTAGTAACTATATTATCAGTGACGTAACTACATTATCAGTGGCATAGTGACTACATTATCAGTGGTGTAGTAACTACATTATCAGTGGTGTAGTGACTACATTATCAGTGACGTAGTAACTACATTATCAGTGACGTAGTAACCACATTATCAGTGACGTAGTAACTACATTATCAGTGACGTAGTGACTACATTATCAGTGACGTAGTGACTACATTATCAGTGACGTAGTGACTACATTATCAGTGACGTAGTAACTACATTATCAGTGGTGTAGTGACTACATTATCAGTGACGTAGTAACTACATTATCAGTGACGTAGTAACCACATTATCAGTGACGTAGTGACTACATTATCAGCTCAGGGGGTGCGGCAAGGTGAGGCCCCAATATTTGATTTGTCTCGCACGGTCGCACCCCAGAGGCTATGAGACATCGCGGCTCCTCTTGCCCTAATCACATCATCCGTATGCTCACGGTCGCAAACATTTAATGCTGTAGGAGGCGCTCCATCTTCACAAAATGCAGCCACCACAGCTCCGTAGTCCTAGTTACCTCTTTGTAACATCACGTTACTGCTCTTAACTGAATTTAAATAAAACGTGGAACGTAAATGGACTCATTTTCATTTTTAAAAAAATTACGTGAACTGCGTTGTCAATAACTTTTTTGTTGTTCTTTGATGCCGTTGTTGAAATCAAATACCATGGTGGTTATCAGGGGGGGGGGGCAGCTCGTAGCTTTGGCCACCAACGGGGGGAGGGGGTGGCACCTCGTGCCTCCGCGCTTGCTGCCACGGTTGCTAGGAGATGTTAACTACCTCGCCTGGTAGGCAGGATGCCGTGGGTTCGATCCCCACCTTGAACCCTGCTGTATATTTGGAGTTTGCGGCGTCTCTCTCCCCGCGGTCGTGTGGATTTGTTCGTCTCCGGCTTCTCCAGCTTTCCCCCTCCACGTTTTAGAATCAACATCGTGGGGTTTAGAGTATTATTTGTGCTGCAATACATTGACGTGCAATGATATCAGCAGCCACTTCGTCGAGCCATCTGCTTTGTGAGAGCCAGGGCGCTTATCTGGTATACAATAACACTGAGAAAATAATTCTAGATTTGAAGCTTTCGTGACTGCAAGGATCCATACTCTTTGGTTCTATTCGGTAAAGTCACGTAAAAAAAATCAACAAAAAATAATAATAATAATAAATAAAAAATGCCGCAACGTGTCGGCCAGCAAGTGCGGTCGACACTTGCTCCCCCCCTGTACATCGTTCATCATGCTAAGTCCTCCAATTAAATGCTATTTTTTATGCTAATTCCTTTGTCAAGGCGCTCTGCTCCCTCTCACACTGCTTAAAGGTCGCGGTCTGAGCTTGGCTCTGTTTCACTCCAGCGCTGTCCTCTAGACAGTCTGCTCCCTTCACCTGATGAAGGCCACTTGTGTTGTGGCCGAAACGTCGTGAATTTTTTTGTTGTTGTTTTTTTACGTGACTTTACCGAATAGAACCAAAGAGTACTGAAAAAATTATTTAGTTTTGCTACTGGTCGGTCTATGCAAAGCCTACGGCACTCACATTCCCGGCCGGCGATGCCGCCCCTCCGGCTGGCTGACGTCTCATCATCTCCTCCATCCTACTAGAACCCCACGCACGCGCGAAGCATTGTAATTTTTACGCAAACATTAAACACCACCTCCGCCCACCCCCGCGCCCTGGCCTTCGCAACACTGATTCACAAGTAATGATCTCACGTCATGTCCCGCTATTCAAGAACCGGGCAGGAGGAGGATTTATCCACAGCTCTGTGGCTGTCCGCCTGATGATGCTGAGTTGTAATTACAGGCGGAACGTCACGGGGCTCATATTGTAAATGCTGCAGTGGGTTTACTCTCCAACACACAACCGCTGTGTGCTGTACTGGTAACGAATTGGCCACGTTTTGTTTACGTGACACACCTTACTAATTGGCTGTGTCGGGTGGTGGTGGGTTTAACGACACATTTATATTCACACGATGTAACCCAACAAAATCTACAGAGACTCCTCTACTTAGGAACTAGTTGGGTTCCATATGTCTGTTCGTATGTCGATTCGTTCGTAAGTCCAACTTTACTCCTGTCGATTCCAAACATGTTGTATGGCGTGTACACTTAACCCGGGAATGGCATTAAAAGTTATATAATCTCATTTAGATGTAGATGCCACTGGTTTTTCACGTTCTGCAGATGTAGATGCCACTAGTTCTTAATGTTCTACAGATGTAGATGCCACTGGTTCTTCACGTTCTGCAAATGTAGATGCTGCTAGTTCTTCATGTTCTACAGATGTAGATGCCACTGGTTTTTCATCTTCTGCAGATGTAGATGCCACTGGTTCTACAGATGTAGATGCCACTGGTTCTTCATGTTCTGTGGATGTAGATGCCACTGGTTCTTCATGTTCGGTTCTTCATGTTCTGTAGATGTCACTACCGCCATCTATTGCATGGCGGTTGAACTCACGACTCTCGGTCCGAACAGGCAACTGGACACACGGACAGGTTTGTTCATATCTCTGAAAGTTCGTAATTCACATATATTCGTAAGTAGAGGAGTCCGTGTGTTATGGATAATATTCAACCACGCAATATCTCTCTATCCAGTCCACTCGATCCACGCCCGACCGCCTTTGTCTCCCCCAGTAGTGATGCTGACACAGCGCACCATGTCAATGGACGCACTTGAGGCCGAGTCGACCTAGGGGAGGCCCAGGATGGGTTCAGATAATCATTGCCGATGTTGGTCGTGAGCGGGAGTCGAACATCAGGTCGCCAGGGTTCGTGGCGCAGTGCGGAGCTAACCGCTACCACTAACCGCTCCCTATTTTGCCACTCACCCACCCACCCACCCACTCACCCGCTCAAGCACTCACCCACCTACTCGCCCGCACACTTACCCACTCGCTCACCCGCACACTCACCCACTCGCCCGCCCAACTCAACCACACACTTGCCCACTCGCCCACCCACTCACCCACTTCCCCGCACACTCACCCACCCACTCACTCGCCCACCCACTCGACCACACACTCGCACACAGACTCGCCCACTCGCCCACCCAACTCACCCACACACTCGCCCACTCGCCCACCCAACTCACCCACTCACTCACCCACTCGCCCGCAGACTCACCCACTCGCCCACCCACTCGCCCGCCCAACTCACCCACTCGATCGCATACTCACCCACTTACCTGCACACTCACCCACCCACTCGCCCGCCCAACTCGCCC